ATAGTAATAATTAATCCTGAGCCAGGCACGCTCCACTGCAAAGCCCAGTCTCAGCCACGCGCTCTCCGACGGCGGCAGACCGACAGTTGGACTCTTAGAGCGCTGAGTCTAGGATCGAGGCCTTACTAGTGAGAATAACAAGGTTTTCACGTGCATTATACTATATATTTATAGAGGGTTTCGTACAATGAGGAAAACTACGACACTACGAGCTAGTGTCAGTGCCTCTTCTGCCTTTGTTTGGAAGTGGGGTGCGGGCTTGGGCAGTCCAGGGTCTGGTATGAAGCCCCAGTTCCTGCTTCGAAAACGGGTTCAGGTCTTATGGTTGACGGCATGTGCATAGCCCAGGCGTGGAGACGTTTAGGGCCAAAACCGTGAAGAGTTTTACCGACGTGCGCTTACCATACTGCGAGCGCCGATCGCTTCTTGTGCTTTGCCTTGGCATACAGGAGCATCAGACATGTCATGTGCCGTGGTGCAGTATCAAACTTTATAGAAGTCATAGCTATCTCGGAGATTGAAAAGCGATTACCCAGGAGTTCGTGCTGCTGGTGTTGGTTGAGGGGTACCTTAGGCTTCCTTTCAAGGTTTTCTATAAAGGGTACTGTAAGGGTTTAGGGTTTAGGGTCCCTAAACCCTAACTCCTAAACCCTAAACCCTTTACCACCAAGCCCTCCAGGTGCCTCTGCGCGTGCTTCGACGCACTGCCAGTTTTCGGGCTGCCCGGGCAAGGCGAGATGAAGCAAATCCGGGGGACGGTTGATGATGGTTCAGGGCTCTAGACTATGGGAATTATGGTTTAATCCTCATCATATATGGGTAATGCAGGATTTATATCATCAACCGGAGGATGAGTAAAGGAATGCTTGGTTGTAGATAGTGGTTTAGCTCCAGGCGGCCCAGACCACGGCTTGTAGCGAAACCCACATCCCCAAATCCATGTCCGATAGTCCGCCCTGTTCGGTCACATGAAAGAGGCACATACAGTCACTGCATGTCACTGCAGTATGGGCAATTCCTGACAGTCTCTGCAGGCGGCAGTGCAGCAGTGTCGACGTAGCCAGACAGTTTTCGTCGCACGGATAATGACATTGGTTCGGCTTGTCTTCAATCCCTAGCCAGGTGATGAGCAGCTGTAGCAACAGGTGCTGCCGCAGTCACTGCTCTCAACTGCCGCAGGGCTTGCCATGTCCGTTACATCGGACTCATGGCCGACAAGGGAAGAGTTCAGCGTAGTCATTCGAAGGGAACGCCAGTCGCATTGCGGCGCCTGCACTCTGCGGTAATGCTGGCTTTTCGGGGAACAAGCCGCCCTTGCAGCCTAATTCACTGAGGAAGACGCCCAGCACGCCCGACAAGGAAGAGGTGTCGTGGCAGACAGTAGTAGCTGTATAGGGCAAGAGGCAAGGCAAGGGATGAAGTGACACAAGGCATCCACATCCAGGCATGACTCCGGGTTCCAGGCTTGTTCAGGACGTGTTGCTTTGCGATTGGACTTCGCCGGTACGGCAGTTTCAACCGTCGTGGCTCGGCCTAAACAAAGACCCGACAGCTCCGTCGACCCTCAGCTGCAGGGCCTTGAGTCCCTTGTGCTGCATTCCCCCTTCCCTTGCGGGGTTTCCTGAAGTCTTTTCGGCCCTGACAAACGAGGCCCGTCAAAATCCTTTGTCATCCGAGTTTTTGATAACTTACATCAACCCTAGATTACCCAAACCAAGCAACCTACTCAGTAGGTAGGTCGGCTGCAAGGGATAGAAAGCCAACTGCACGGCCCGAGGCAGCTCTGCAGAGCAACGAGACAGCACTCTGATCCCCGGCTTGCAACGACTTCTACTTTCTTGGTTCTGATGCTTGTGTAAGTCTAGTGTGTCGTGGCTGTGCTCAAGAAATAGCCACGAAGAGTTTGCTTGTGGAACGGACTCACAATTGCAACTGCTTCGATGTATGCATGGCTGCTGGCCGACAACACAGGCGGGTTTAGTCCAGAGAGGCCAGAGAGGGAACATGCCGGCAGAAAGAAGGATACAGTCTCAACTCGGCAGTGGAAGCTTCCGACGGCCTCAAGCCTTCCGTATGACAAAGCCTCATCTTTGAAGACCACGCAGACACCGACAGCAAGCAAACTAGATGTTGCGTGAAGAGCTGCAATAACGAGTGACCTGAAGACCTGAAACTCAGGGCATCGATCGCTACTTAAAGGGATCACGGAGGACTAGGTTATAGTGGTTGAGGCTGAAGGGTTCGAGGGTCTGGCATGGGACGGAGCTTGTAGATAAACTCGGGCCACCCACTAGAGCACCGATTGCTCATTATGACCGAACTACTTCCCGCACCCGCCCTGAAATCATTCCCACCCGGTCTTAGAGTTTCGATCCGGAGGTTTTCTCCTTCACGCAAGCACTCGGGGGATGTGAGCCTCGTCGGCTCCAGTAGGTTTAGGGCCTGGGGTGTCGGATGTAAGTACTGGGCCGGTTCGTGGATGTAGGATGTAGGGTTTTTGAGTTTAGGGTTCACCGGTTGCATCATCAGGGCGTCGGCTCCTCCCACGACTTTGCGGCCGCTGTTGCCTCCGACGCAAGCCGTCCTGATGCTGGACATGTAGGGTCGTTCATCATACTCCCCTGGATCTTAGGCTTAAGCCCCATGACCCTAAGCCGCGCAACCCTAAAATAGTCGAAGGGGTTCCAAACGCCATGAGAACAAGCCTATGTCCTAGGCTCTGAACCTAAACCGCCCCCAAAGTATGTAGAATAATAGCCTTTTATAGGCTTTGGGCCATTATTTTACGTACTTCGGGGGTCTAGGTAACCCCGAATTACTACCGAACCTAAACTCCTAAACCCCTGCGCTCTGACAAATCGAAGCCCCGAAGCCTATGCATGTCGGGAGTCGGCATGCCAGTGACGGAAAACAGCCTTTGAGCAGGGAAGGTTTAGTGTGCGTATGTGATAGTATCGCTTTTGTTGTTTTTGCTTGGGGTTGAGACCTTCAGGACTTTAGTGTTGCGAAAGACTCAGTCGTCAAGGTGCGATGTGGTTCCGGGGAATCCCTGCTTCAGATTGCCTCTCACCGTGAGACCCCCAGTCCCCGGAGGGTTGCAGATCTTGTTCGCCCAAAGGTGGCCTTGACCCCAGCCTTATAGTTGTGGAGCCCCAAACCTCCCTTAAAAGGTTTGGCCATGAACCCCCCCAGAAGGATCACGACGATAGGAAGTGGAGCACGGCGAGTACGGTGGTTTTCCTTGATGATGCTGCTAAGCTGCTAGGTCAAACTCTATACTGGGGTTACTACGCAGCCAACTGGCCGTGAGTGATGTGTGTGTGTGTGTGTTCCGCGGGGCCAGAAATTCATAGCTGAAATGAAGGATTCAATGCAGTTTGAGCTGATATGTATGCCTCTTTTTGTGTGCCCTGCACATCATGTGAATTCCCTACACAACACCCTAAATCCCAGAACCTCACAGCTAGGGACCGAAAATGGGGGACTCTTGGAAAGGCTCCCTACCCAGAACCCTAAAGTCGAAAGCCCGAATCCCTAAACTCCTACCCCAGAACCCCTGATTGTAAGAACCTTCCAAGCCCAGGACCTGGACTCTGAAACTGTCGCGTCCATACTAGACTATACCGTACTATACTTTACTGTACGATACTATGCGACACTATGCGATACTGTAGCATGTATTATATAAACACACACACATATATATACATATATATATATATATTCATATATGTAGGTAATGTGAATGCTAGCAGAGCTAGCGGATGATTCGGAAATATCTAGGTCTTGTGCACCGACGAAGTTTGACCCACTGCCTTTTCAGAACTTAAGTTCAGGCTCCAGTATCGAGGATTAGTACATATGTGTCTCCATTACGCGACACACAGTTCCTGTATTTCTCTAATTCGCTCGAAATCGGAGAATGTCACATTGGAAAATGCAAAGTCCTCAACCCACATCCCTCTGATCAGCAACCTTCAAGTGCAAAAGCTGCACACATGCAGACTCTAAGCCCTGTAGCCGTACTTGGTGCAGGGCAAAAGATCTGCGGCGAGTCCTCCTGCCGGTTTGTGACTGTTTGAGTGTGTATCCTACATTGAGGCGGTGCTGCTTGCGCGAAGCTTTGGAAAGTTAATGGCTTGTGCCTGGATGTTCAGGGTGACATAGTGAAGTTGCAAATAACGCCTTCAGTTTGTTTCATCAACAGGCACCAGGGGGCTGAACTCAGGGTTGTTTAGGGTAAGAGGTGTGGAGACACGTGTTGGGAAGTTTCGCAGCAACTGTAGAGCACAGTGGGAAGACTCAGGGTAGAGAACAGATGCGAGTCCTGCTCAGACTCTTCACACACACACACACATGCTACAAACACGGTCGCTTTCAGTGCTTCTCGGATGAGCCGGCCATGCTTTGCTCCCCTCTGCTACACTGTTTTGAGGTTCAGTAAACCCTTGCTTCCCAAGCCCAAGCCTGTTACAGGCGTCTCGGGTCGGTTAGGCTGCACTGCGACAGTCCCGAAACATGATGTCAGTTCCCCTTTCTCGATGAACAGGGCGACGCATCATGTTCAGGATGGCTGGGGGCTGCCCCCACATCCTATTCCTCCTGATGCTCTTACCCGTGCTGCTCCCGCTGCTGTTGTTGCTGCTTCTACGACGACGACTATACCACTACGACTACTACTCACTACTCCCACTAGCACTGCCACTGCCGTCATCATCATGATGATAACGCTGCTACTTCTACTGAGATTGCAAATTAACTAGCCAGCGAAGGTGGGCATGCTTTCGTGGCACTCATGCGTGTTGGCTCAGGCCTTTGGCTGCTTAGTAACCCATGATCGGATTCCGAGCTAGGCTGCAAACACAGAGGCAAATGGATCATGCATCAACTCAACGATATCAGGGTCGCTCCTGTGTTCAAGCCTTAAAGACGTGGCCCAACTCTACCCGGCAAGCCTAAGTAGAACAACTCGAAGCCTGCAGATCCGAGTTTCATGCGAGATGGAGAAGAGCTATGAGGGCGGCGCGATGAGCATGGCCAGCCAAGCAAAAGCTCGAGACCAGCGAGCCAAGGCACCGTTCTTCATGATAGGACGTATTATAGGGGGCCCTGCTAAAGGGTTCCTTTGCAGGGTTCTTATAAAGGGTCTAGCGTTACGATAAGGGCTACTATAAGCGTCTAGAAAAGGAGTTCCTTAGTATAATTAGAGCATACGGGGCCCACAGACCCGATTCTAAGTATAAAGGCCCCTACATTAACGGAGCTAGGCGAGACATCCGCGATGTGAGCTTCAAGCCTGGTGGAGCAGATGTTTGAACTTCTGTAGCAGGAAGCCCTGAAGAGATTTCCGGAGATTGTGCCGCCGGCAGTCTATTTCCAGTGCAAACACCTCATCCAGGATGGCGTTATAGTTGTCCCTTTCAGGACTTCCAGCGGCGGTGCCTCAAAGCCACAGCTCACAATCTAGCAATTTCCAACCCTCCAAAGGCCACGCCCTCACCCGGCCTTCTGCATCAACTGGTCTACGATACTCAGACCAAAGAGAGATCAGAGCCTTGGCTAGCACCCGGAAAGATGTCGGAGATTTCGATTTAAAAAAAAACATGCGAAGGGCTTCCGCGATGGAATCGGGCATGTGGGGCCTGGGGTCAAGACCTGCTTCAAGCCTGCATCCCCTGGAAGCATGTCTTTTGGCTACCGCTCTAAAGGCTGCGGCTATTGGGTCCAGGCATTCACTGCAGCATGCGAGTCTTCAGAAATTGAGTTTCAGGAGTACACCACGTGGAGAGTGCAGCGTGCTGCGAGACGATTCGTTCGAGCAGCCGTTCCGTTCACTGGCATGTGCACCTCGGACTTGGCCTGAAGAGGGTCTGGGGTTCAGGGCTGCAGGTCATACGTTTCCATGCCCATTGGGAGCCATGTAGCACCTCGTACACGCATAGCTTGTCAAGATTCAAGCCTTTTCAGCGTCGCCCACGCTGCCAGTACATGGCCTTGATCCCAAGCCTAGAGTCAGCGATATTCAGCGAGTGAAGATAGATAGCTTCGACCTCTGCTGCATGGTAGAAAAGCCTGCTGCGCGTGATGTTGTATCCTGCTGCCAGGTGTATGCCCTACTGGTGTCCCTTTGCTAAGGAATCAATTATATATTGTTACAAGTTCTATATTATCTACTTGAGATACGCTAAGATCAGTGGTGGCGCAGGCTTCTAATGGCAGTAACCCAGAGACTCCAATACCCCTTAATTAAGGAATATTCCTTAAATCATATTAAGGATCCTACTATAATTTAAGGTATGTTCCGTAATTAAGGGGTATTGGAGTCTCTGGGAAGATGCAGCAGGACATGGAGAGGCCGAAACCTCGGAACCCAGCCCTTCGCCGAGCAGATTCGACTCGCAGAGCTGTGATAGAAGCTAATATATGGGAGTTTCCGAAAATTAGGGGTACCTATTTTGGGGGTCCTTATAAGAAGGATCCTACTATTTAGGGTACCATATTAGGGTCCCTGTTTTTGGAAACTCCCATATCTTGCATTGTACATCGTAGCCTACAGTATACTACACTGTGCTACACGAAGGGCAGGTTCTGAAAAAAAATCCACCCAAGAAATCTGCTTCACAGGGAGTCAAAGAAACCTTCCTACAGCCGACAGGCATCTCCGTGATGAGCTTGCATTTTCTGGAGGGCGGCATGGCCCCGACCAGCCGCCTGACAGAACAAAAATCTGCTCCGAAGATCTGATGGTTTTGGTCCCTTCTTGGCCTCAAAAAGCTAAGTAGCTGAGTGGATACACTTTACACTTTTTGGCATAATATTACCCACTAGTAAACTGAAAGTGTACACTTTGGGGGGGAACTCAGCCACTAAGAAAGCCTTGAGCAGCTTCCGTTTTGGTAAAAACTTGAAAGAGAAGACTTCTGGTGCAGGGGTCCATCCCGTAAAGACGTGTTTGCATCCGATTTTCGAGCTCAGGATATCTGCAGACTTGCGGCAACTCGGCTCGTCGAGCACATGTTTTTGTTTGAATATCGGTCGAGGGCTTGGGGTACTCAGTTTACAAAATTGCCGACACAGACCTGTCCAGTTTCCATCGGCAGGGTGCTGCGTTGCTACATTCCGCGATGCCTCTCCAAGTGGACTTAGCCCTGCTGGGGTTTGCCATGTGCGAGTCGAAAATTGAAGTTCAATAAACTCTGTACCGGAATGATGAGCCATCTTGAAACAGTCTGCTCGTAGCCTGGTGAGTATTTTCCACAGGTGCCCTCGTGTTTTCATGCAGTGCTCTGTGGTGCAAGGCATGATGGCTGCTCTGTGTTTGGTAAGCTTTCACTGCGCCCGATCGTTCTTTTCGTCTGCAATGCTGGAGCCTCAGTGCACAGGCTGAGTGGGGTTGAACTGTGGTTCAGGCTGCGACTGAGGGTGCTACTTGCGGCTATATGCAAACGGGATAGGCAATGGACACGGGGTGTTGCCGGGGGCAATACATTTAGTTTTGTACTTTTGCCCTTTGAAGCAGGAGTGCAAAAATGTGTTATGTACGCGGTCTAGTGTAGTAGTCATCGAAAGGAAACTGTTGAGCATCTAAAACCCATTAACCAAAATGGTGATGGAGCATAGGGGAATTCCTTCATCTCTTGCATTTAGGGTGGCAGCACGGAAGGCAACGGCCCCTTTCATTCCGGTGCTCCCCCAGCCTAGGAGGTTTCAAGTCAAAAACCCTGAAGCCTTAGAGCTGAGAAGCTGAAATGCTAGCCTTTGTCATAGTTGGGTAACATTTTACATTTTTACGGGTACTTGAACCCAATAAGGAATAACAATGTACATTTTTAGTCCTATCCCAACAATGAACTAGTAAATTCTACGCCTTCAATCCCTAAGCCCTACATGACTGAACCCGTATGATTGAATGCTACACGTGAGATGAGGTCGAGGAGCATCTTTCTGCAGCTGGCCTTCTTTGGCTGCCAGGACTCCGAGATTTTAGGGGCTTAGGAGCCGGGTTTAGAGCTTAGGGGCTTTGGGCTTTGTAGTTTAGGGCCTAGGGTAGCGCTTCTGCGGCGGATATAGAGTGTGCGCCCGAGGGTGAGGGGCTGGGGAATAGGAGGAGCAATGAACCAGAGAGAGGCATCGTTCGGAGGAGGAGTTTCAGGTGGGAGTCATGACGCTTGTGCCAGGTCTTCATGCTGCTAGACCCTCTGGATGCAACGGCAGAGAGAGAGAGAGAGAGAGCGAGAGAGAGAGAGAGAGAGAGAGATGCTGTTCGGCTACGGTTGATAATTTCGACTACGCCTGTACAGTTTAGTTTGTGCCGAGTCTTGGGTACGGGAGTCGTGGCCGAGTCTGCCTGGCAAAGCGTCTGGCGGCAGGGCCCACGAATTTCAATTTAAGTTGAGGCTCGCCGAATTCCGATCCCTGGATCTCCGGCAGCATTAGCAACACCGAGCCTTGCACCAAGCACGGACAGCGTCAGAAAGCCGAGCGCGACACAGACCTTCAGGCCAAACTCCTCTCCTCTCGACCCTGGCCAGCTACGCATTTCCGCTCCTTCAACTCGCTTGAAGGAGGTGTTGCTGACAGCTGCAGCATCATCGATGCGCGCAGTGCCTAGGTTCGAGTGCAGAAGACGGCTTTGCATAGCACCACTCCTGTTCGTTCTCATGTCCGCCGGTTCTTCTCGGCCGATTTTTGTTGACATCGTGTTGCTTCGGTGCCCAGAAATCCGAATCGAAGGTGTCACCTCTGATCCTGCGAGTCCCCAAGCCAAAGCTAGTACAAGGCGGTAGACAGACAGTGAGCCAATCGCAGAGATAACCTAAGTTCAAGACTCTTCCTTGCACTCCCTAAGGGTCCAAGTACCCAAATAGGCGGGTTTCAAGGTCCCAAAACCACTCAGAGGATGGATTTTGGGATCTTAAAACCCTACTATTTGGGTACTTGGACGCCTCTGGGATTGCCTGAAATCTGAGAAGATTCCCGCAGCCCTAAACCCTAAACCCCTAAACTCTAAACCCTAAACCCTAAACCGCTCTTCACTCGCTGCCGAGGGCTCTTCGCAGCTCATCTTCTACGTCAGTACAGCCCTGCCTTGGCCACTGCGACGGTACATCACTTTAGGGTTTAGGGTTTAGGGTTCAGGGTTTAGGGTTTAGGATTTAGGGTTTAGGGTTTAGGGTTTACCTAAAGTCTCCATTGTAGTTCCTTTTTCTGGTTAACCAGTTTTATGGTTAGGACCCTATAACAGAGATTTTGGTTAACCAAAAAAAGGAACTACAATGGAGACTCTCCATTGTAGTTCCTTTTTTTGGTTTAATGGAGACTATAGGTAGGGTCTCGGGTCAGGTTACTTGTAAACATATAAGCGTAAACTTGTAGGGATATACAGATATACATATGCATCACAGAAACAGACCAGAACACAACATCTTGACACATTGCAGTACGTTTGACTACATTACATACATGCAGTCATACTTGCACATACGTACATACTCAAAGCATCATTCCAGTATTTAGATGCGCTTCAGGATGCTCAGTCATGCAAGCATGCTTGCATGCATGTATGTACTTCGTCATGTTGTCTGACATGTTCTTGGGCCGAGCTGTATGGCGCTTCCTGCGCTAGCTTTGTATCGCTTGTACGCCCGAAAATGCAGCTAGCCAGGTGCACGACTTAACGCCGCGGTAACACAAAATTCGTTGTGCAAACCGAAACTCTACCCACCAGCCCGATCGCCCTACAGATCCTGGAATGTCAACGAAGCAAACTCGCCAAATGAGTTTGGGGAGGGCTGAGCAGGTGGAGGATTGAGCTAGTTTGCAATTTTTGTCGGTCATATTGCATGGCGTGACAGGTTATTTTGTTGACACTTGGTTTTAGACATTCATGGCGCGGAACTGCCGAAGTCCCACATCATCATTCATCCTGAGCGGCGCGACGCCCGAAAGAGTCATGGCAATTACAGCACAATCGCGATCACTGGGTCGCCTTCGATACTCAGCCATACCATGACCCTTGCTCCCCGACAAGCAAAAGCCAGAAGCAAATCCAGCGGGAGAGTTCTCACAGCCTTAAAGCCGTAAGCCACGTGGAGCGCAGAGGCTCTTTCTTTTTGCGGCCCTGGGACGAGTGCCTCTGGGCTTGCTCCTTGCAGTGGATGCTTGGCTAGTGCTGGACTCTTTATCTTATCAAGTACTGTTGGGCATCTAGCTGCTTCAAATTCGCATACTTATCATCATTTCAGTGCTGTACAAACTTATGAGAATATGTGTGTACATATTTGCATATACACAAGTGTGAATGTACAAGCATGGAGACACATCTACACATGTTTCTTTATACTTGCCTAGTTATGCCATTTTCTGTGAGAGTGTAAGGATTTGAAGATCTGAGTGTTTGCGGCGTGTAAGGGCCAGCCCAGCCCCCTCGCCTCGCCCTTCGGATCAGGATGTAGGCTGTATCTTACCAAGCCAGAACCTAATTTTCGTTGAGTTGTGTTATGGTGACTTACACAGGGACAGAAAGAAACCCTAAAGGGTAGGTTTCTACACTGTATCGGCCCAGGTGTGTCCCTTGCATATGGGCTGCTGGCTGGCACTCCGCGCGGCCGTTTGGCAAGCGTTTTAGAGTTTTGGGTGAGAGACGAACCTGAAAAGCCCCGAGCTCGAAAGCCAAGCCATAGGCCTACCCCTGCAGCTTCGGCCTTCTTAACAATTTTAGGGTCTACGGTTGGGTACTGCCCCCATTCAGTAACGTTTGAATAGTCCTCAATAGTCGCCCTATCATAGACTGTTACTGTACAAGGTTTAGCTTTCCTTCCTTCCTTCGGCTCTAGCTCGGAGGTTTTGGGAAAGTTGATCGAATATGACCCGGCAAGCTTTGGAGTGCTGTTGACATCCTGAGCATGCGGCATTCGAGATGGCCTTTCCTGAAGCCTTCATGAGCAGGTCGTCCAAAGTGACGTCGACGAAATTCCTAGTTACTAGTTCTGATTGAGTTGTGGAGCTGGGAAGGGCCAACTATCTCTCTCGTGCCCAAGTCCCCCGCCCGGTCTTGCCATGTTGCGAGGGGCAGAAGCCGGGAAAACCCGAGGTCCCCTGCAAAAAATGGAACTATACGGCATCCAATACAGGGTGGAAGAATCGGTACGAGTATCACCGCTTTGGAACTATAGTGATGGCACGTCGAGAGAGCGAGAGACATCCCAGTTTTGTCTCGTTTGTACTGTATTGCAATGTACCCCGACACTCTATTCGCAACATTGAGGCATCTATGTTGCCCACCTCCGGCTTGTCTTTGCAAGGCTTGCACGGGTCTCTCATCGCACTGCTTGGCGCTGGGCCTTCTTCAATGTGCAGGCGCTTCTGGGTTTCCCTGGGCCCTGGAAGGAGTGTACGTCAAGTTGTTGCAGTGCTGGCTGGACAGGCGGTTTTTGGTGCTAGGCGCAAGAAACGAGGCTTTGAAGATCTGAAATGGATCTTGTCTTGTCTGGTCACAGCGATTGAAGGGGTTCAGCTGTAGGGCCTAAACACTTTTTACATTGTGGACCTGGCCGTGACGAGGTTCGGACCGAACGTTTTGTGGGTTTTTATCCATCTCAGTAAGTCTAGTTAAATGCAAAGGTGGTTTTTAGTCACATCTTCTTTTTTCATGTGGGGAGAGGCAAGAGGAAGAGGCAGAGGTCTAAACTCTAGCTCCGTTGGACCAATCTTCATATTATAGTTGCTTAGAATTGCAAAAATTTGAATATCAAAAGGGTCGTATTATTATTTGCAGGGCTATCACGGACTAGTTGTGAACATCATCATCGTCCCCTCGAAGGTGCCGTGCTGACGCATTTTGCTGTTGAGACTGCCGAGCTTGAGTCACTCGGCTTGCTCCCGTTTGTCATGCTCATCGAGTTCGGGCCCGTCTCAGAATATCTTTACGGTTCGACAAGATTTCCTTCCGGGTTCTACGGCGGGTAGATCATTCTATAGTTCGTGAGGTTTTGTCATAGGGCTCAGATTTCACAGTGGGGTCTCAAGTGGAGGAAGCTCCTTGACAGGGATAGACGTGTGTCATCACTGGACGACCCAAGCAAAAGCTGCCTGAATAATGGTAGCCTGGTAGTAGTAGCAATAGTAATAATGGCAATAATGAAAAACTGAGCATCGTCATAATAATTGTAATGCCAATACGAATACTACCAATCATATTACCGATGCTAATAGCAATAACAGTTTTGGTGCTGCTGACATGAACCCCTTGGCCCGCAAATCCCCCGACTTGAAACTTTTCATGTGGTGGAGCTCCGGTGCTTGAGGAACTTCCGTTTCCTGTCGGCCCTTACCAGCGAACAGCAGCACATGGAGTCCATGCACATGGTCTTTCGAGGCAGCTCGCACCGAATTTTCTGCAGAACTTTTCGGGAGTGCAGAGTGCATATTAGGTTTCAGGTGGCAGTTGAATCAGGGCTTCTAGTCGAAAGGAATCTTGTTTTACTCGTGGCATCGAAGTATCGGACCGGGTGTTCACAAGAGCAGGTTCCACGGGCCAGAAGCTGGAAGGGGATTGAAAGCATAGGGCTGGCAGCCAGCAGCCAGATAGGAGTACGTCCGGAAGGCAGACGACAGCATGAGTGTTGATGCGGGTATTCCAGAGTCGTTTTTCACTGACACCATCACTTGACGCGGAAAAGCCAAGAGCCCTGCACCCACAGAAGTCCATCGGGTTTCATTGCTGTACGAGTCGAAATAGTTACCAAGTGTTCCGTGTCAGAATACCGACAAGCCCTATTTGGAATATTATGGCCCTTATGTGTCTCTGGCTACACTGTAAACCCAACCTTCCAGACCATGAGCCCATGCACTTTCTTCCACAGACACACGGCTGTTTCAGGGAGTGGAAATAAAATGGAAGCAAACGAAAATGTGAATAACATGAGCCCGCCATCACAAGCAAGGCCTCAGCCAAGCCTAAGGCCTAAGGACATAGATTTCAATTATGTATATAAGGGTTTCAGTTAAAGCTCGTAGACTTTTTGCTGCTGCAGAGGAATGGTTTCCAGCCTTTTCGCGCCTTGGATTGAGATGTTAGATGGAGGTGGCTTGCAAGAGGACCCAGGGATATCGCTGACATGAAGTCTCAAATTTGACAGATGCAATCGTGCCATTGAATATAAAACCAGTCGCCCGAGAAAAGGTCAACACACAGCCTCTTGCATGAAGACGATGGTTGTTGCTTCCAATGGCGCACCGGCGCCTAAACGTACATGTCACGATCGTGAGCTTTGCTTGCTCCTCTTCCTCCTACGACCTCCACTGCTGCTACTACTACTCCTGCTGCTGCTGCTGCTTCTGCTTCAGCTGCCGCTGCTACCACTCCTGCTACGGCTACTACTACTACTACTACTACTACTACTACTACTACTACTACTACTACTACTACTACTACTGCTACAACTGCTACTACTGCTGCTACTACTGCTACTGCTACTGCTACTGCTGCTACTGCTGCTGCTGCTGCTGCGACTGCTGCTGCTACTGCTACTGCTTCCGCTGCTGCTACTGCTACTGCTACTGCTACCGCTACTGCTACTGCTACTGACTGCTACTACTTCGACGACGACGACTCCTACTACTTCTGGATGCATGCATGACTCGCTTAGGATGCATCCTGCATCTGCTACTCAGATGCACAAACTTTTTGAGTTGTGAGAGTCCTTCGCGAGTGAGGAGCTTTGGGGTTCAAGGTTTTGGGGTTTCTGATTCTGACCTGTTAACTTTTCAATATAATTCTATTCCACATGTGGTGTGTGGAATTGTGGCTTTCTGCACCCGGTCATAAAATGCATGTTCAAGTAGATGCAGGCAGGTGTACATGCGTTGTCGCATCGCTCGTGTCAGCTGCAGAACTTGGGAGTGGGAAGCTGTCCCCAGATGTAGTTTTCGATTGCGGGCTCAGGCCTCGTGGGAATTGGTTTAGTTGGCTTTGGTTTACCAGGTATGCAACGTAGAGCTCGAGGCAAGGAGGTTTCTGGGACGAATCCGAGCCATCCTTCAGATAAGGGCAAGGATGATTGCCGTCCATTGCCAGGTAATGATGATGGCCAGGTTCATTGCTGGTCTCAGTCCGCCCCACCGACCGATGAGGCTGGCTCTCCCGGGAGCATCAGCGGCCGTGAAATTTGGGATTTTGTCTTTGTTCCCTCGATATCGACAGCTACATGGTACCGTCTAAAAGGGTGTGTTATTGCGTACGGTGTGTTCCAGACTCCAGACTTCTAAGAGAGTTAGAGCCTGCATAAAGTGCGCAAGACTGCGGTAGTACAATCCACTGTAAGTGAACCTCACGGACGAGTGTTTCTTTGTCGTGGATGTAGCTGGGCAACACCAGACCCTTGACAAGGCTTCGGCTGCGGGTCCAGGGCTATAGGAGCTTTGCGTATGGTGGCGATGGCGCCGACCGTTTTGCCACGGGAGCACCTGAACTGTAAAAATCCATTCGAAGCTCTTCGCAGATGGATTTGGCGACGGCGTCACTGGTTACAGCAGAGAATCTCTTCGACTTGCTCCCCGTCTCATTATTTCTTCATTTCCTAATTGCTCCAGTTGTTGTTTGTAGTTGTTTGTCTTTTCCGAGAAAGTAGTTGGTCTGGCATCAAGCCCATTTTGGATTTGCAATAGCTCCGAAGAAACATCACCCTGGAAAATCCGATCCTGCAGATCCACATCCAAGATCCCCTGGAAGCCGGTGTAGGAAGTGTGGGACTTAATTGAAGCCAAAGACCATGCAGCCAACCTTTTTCGACTCGAGGCCGAAGCATGCACATATAGGACTCTAGGACCATAGGATCCGCTTTGATAGTAGGGCTCCAAAACCTATGAGCCCTCACCGGGTTGCCAGGACCTCAGGGTCACCCCGCCCGAAATCCCACAAACCCTGTAAACCGACATCCTGACCCAAAGATCCTTTTGAACCATCCTCCAATTTTAAAGAAATTTCTCCCTCCGCGAGCCCAGGACGGATGGTTCTTTTCTTGGGTATAGGGCTTTATAGGGTTCTATTGGGGTTTGAAGGGCTTCACCTTATAGGGTTCTACGAAGGTTTATTGGGTTTTAGACGGTTTCATGGGCTTGTGTAAGGGTTTACAGGCTTCTAAAAACTAGTCTAAAAGGGTTCACAGAGCTTGACAAAGGTTGAAAGGGTTCAGACGGTTTCATGGGCTTGTGTAAGGCTTTAAGTTTTGTGTGACTCAGGACTTCCAATGTGGCAGAGTCGAAGTGCCTGAGCTTCAAGCGCCTAAGGCTGTCTGGTTCTTAGTAGTGAATGGGGTATATGGGGTTCCTTTGAGAGTTACTATGGGGGCTACTATAAGGGTTAGACTATACGGGTTTAGGGTTCTTAGTAGGCAATCTGGTTCTTGGTAGGGAATGGGGGAATGGGTTATGGAGACTACTTTTGGAAATTTTTTAGGCGCAGGATAGGGATCCATTCCCGCATTCCCTACTAAGCACCAGACAGAAGGATGGTCAAGTTGTTGACCGGCGCTCAGGCTAGTTGTGGGATGTTATTCGGGATTACCTGTAGCATGCATATATATATATATATATTTCAGTACGCTTCCGAGACCGTTGATTCTTCCGCCCCACGGCAGGAGACAGTTGCGACGTGGCATAACCGCAGTTTAGGCTACAGCGCCGGGGGGAGAAGATATTTGATAAGCATATTCTGGACTCCGACTCCGGACTGGCACCAAGATCGGCCCAAGTGGTCGAAACTGTCGTCGCGGTCTTGACCCAAAGCTTTCACAACGTACGGTCTCTGACTAGATGTGATATATAGGGGCAAGAATGAGCAGCTTGATTCTTCCATCGCTTTGTCAGTCCAGCATTGGATGCTCTTTTTGAGATCCTGTTCCACTTGTCCAGCCATCCTGAAACACGATTTCTTGAGAAGTCGACACATGATTCGGTTTCAGGTGCTTGAGCTTATTCATAATGCTATTGCATTTGCGACTTTGGATGCCACGCCTCTTGCTCTGCTTGTTGGGAGGTAAGCCTTAGGGCCTGATCATGTTGGGAGGTAAACCTTAGGGCCTGATCATGTGTGGCATGATCCGATTTCACTGATGGTGCACACTTTCCACCCTCAGCCCTCGAACCTAAACATACTAAAATCCTTAAATCCCGTCAAACCTCAGCCCCCCAAATCAAACTGAAGTTTGTTAGAAACCCCAAACCCTCTACCACAACCCAAAAGGCAGCTGTCGGACTTCCTCCAGCACCTGAGCTTGAAAGCTTTGGCATCAGCAGAGCCTTAGCCGAAGCTGAGACTTAGGTCATGAGATGTGGGATATGCAAAGCTCCTTTCGGGCAAATTATGGAGAACTTGGCGGTTGTTTCCACGTTGCATGTGCGCTAAGCATACCACTATATGTACATGTGTATATACACACACACACACATATAGAGAGAGAGAGAGAGAGAGAGAGTAGTCGGAGCAGTCCCGATAGTGTCGCAGTGCCAGGCGTATGCCGGTGCGTGTGCGTGTGTGCGCATGCGTTGCAGAGTGTACATGCATAGGTGTCCACACCCGCGACCTGAGGCAGCCTTGAAAAGAGGTAACTGTGACAAACATGTATGTCGCCTGCATGCAGGGCTGTACTTACGGGTACCTGTAGCTGGACTGGACTTGCGTGACTAGTGACTAGGACCGAGCTGTTCCGCTGTCACCGGTTCAATGAGACCCTGACGTCTCTTCTGCACACAGCTTCCTTCGACCATGCTCAGGAGAGGGCGGCGAGTGTCACCATCAAGCTCAAAAGAAGCATCTTCGAGGCGCGACCTCCAACTTCAAAATCTCGATCTCTTGCACTTCGGGATGAAACATTGAAGGCAGAAGCTTGAATTTCGACCTAAAACGACTAAAGCCACATGCAGCAAAAGCACAACACGACTATCTACCGGCAACAGCCCTCGTGAGCCCGAAGCCACAGTGTCGACCCGAAACACCGAAGCAGAAGCTCTTTGTGGAGAAGTTTGGCTGGAGGGGAGCCCAAGCTGAAACCCGTGACCTTGCATCGTCAATACTACCATCCTAATTCGTTGAATCGCATGGCCTGGTTGAGGGATGTTGTGCCTCGGGCCATTCCTGTGCGCATTACAGCATGTGGCGGGACGGGCATCTGTACGCAGAGATGCTGAAACCATTCTATTTTGCAGGGTTTTGCGTGGCCTATTGGGGCAAGTTCGTTGGTTTTCAAGATGCTGTGGATATTGCCACGATTTTATTTCATGATCCAGACTGTTACCCAGCAACCCTGACGACACTGCCTTTGCATCCGAACTTGACAAACATCGATGCCTGTCTCTTAATCCCAGTTTTATTATGTATGCCGACTGCATTGCCTTTGGCCGCGAAGGTCTGTCAGTATTTAAGTGCGTCGCTCCAGCAATGCTCAAGATCGTGATCGGTGCACAGGGTGTTCGTGTAAATGCAGAAAGGATTGCTTATTTGGCACTGGAGTTGCGCCAGGAGCTCCCATAACCGAAGCCACATTTTTTCACAATGCACCCGACATCCTTAGCCAGGCCCATCTCTCAAAGGGCGCGGAGACCAAAGCCTGGGGCACAAGTATGAATTCCTCCGCCCGAAAATGTCGTGGTCAAGCCTTGCCTCAAAACTTTCAGCCGGGTAGGTCCAGCTGTACGGCTTCAAGGTGCCGGCGCGAACCCATCGAAACTCGGCATCAGGTCTACTGGCATCAGCATCAGTCAGACCATCTGCGCGAAATTTTAACAAGACATTTTCGCGGTTCGCTTCTGTACGAAGTCCCTTCTGAGATCGGCAAGTCTGACGTCCTAGAATCTATTGTCTGACCAGCTACCTGACATCATTAGATGCCCAAACTGCAGATATCTTCGTGCAAACTCTCGCGAGTTTCAGAGCTGTTTGGATGACCCGATGAGCCACCAGTCCTCAGCATCCCTCAGCTCAGCACGACTTTGTAATAGATTGTACCATCGCAACCTGAGCCCTCTAGCTTAGTGGAGGGACCGTGGCAACACGCTGCTCATATCGCAGCTTACTTTGGCAAACATTTGATGCGAAGAAGATAGCTCCTCACGGCGATCTACATAACAACTTAGACGAATCCTGCTGCAGATGTGGTATTCGTACACATTTGAGAACTCTAAGGCATTCTAGGCATACATGCACGTCGATGGAGCAGCTGTCGAAAATGTGCACACTGTCCGTCTCGGCTTGTGCAGCAATGTTGTGTCTAGAGTTGGGGGACCTATTCACACCATCTTCATTCTCCGAGAGCTCCTGCGAGGATTGAAGTCTCCGTCCGAGACTGGCTTCGGAGAGGGGCGGATCTTGATCGGGGTGACCCTCGGCTGGCCTATGGAGGGTGAGACTTAAGAGCATGCATGATAGAGTCTGACACGGGTTACCTGTGGATCATGTTTCGTCCGAAGGTTGTCTATTCAGTGAGACGAGGTAAGCTTTTGCAGAATATTTTCAGGGTTATATTAGAAGCATCCCCAGTGATCAGACAGTTTGAGAAAGCGCATGGCTGCTTTAGGATATCCTACCCAGTCTGCCAGGAAGCTCACAGCTGCCCAAGAGAGACTTGTCTGATTAAGCGTGTGCTGCGCAGGGATGCCAGGCATAGGATACTTGTACCTTCAAATCCTCATCCCCAGCAAGATTTGGGGGCACGCTGGGGATGTCATGCCAGGTTGATTGTATGGGCATTCGGGGTGTGTATGTGTGCGTGTGTGTGTTGGGGGGGGGGGGGGGCATGCATGGAAAGTTTAGCTAGGAGGCCGTATGCCGCGGGGCGCCAAAATTCAATCAACCAAGGGTCCCCAGTACTTCACACTTCACACCACTCTGTCAACGAACCATTACGACTTTTCTGTGGCTGCAGCATGTACTGGGGCCTGAGCCAAGGAAAGACCCCCTTCTTCAGAGAGCCTCAGGGAGTAGCGTAGACCCCTGACTAAGACAAACGGGGGGGCGATCGGACGAGTTATTAACCGGGGGGGGCAAGATTACTTCCAATTACAGATGCCTTGCCCAGGGCCCGCGCAACCTCCAAGGGGCGATCTGGCGTTGACTCCCCGGGGTCGAAGGCCGCAAGCAGGCGCCTCCAGACAGGGCTAAACTAAGCATACAAGAAACACAAGTCAACAGGTGGATACGGAGATAAACGAACAAGCAGCTAGCTGATAACTATTATATACGTATTCAGATAAGCAAGTGAGAGAACAGAGGAACAAAGCACGCATAGGTTTATCGCAATACATGAACTGTACATGTATATGTATATACATATCTGTGTATATGTAAAATTTATAGGTATGTCGGTGTATATATGCATATATATATATATATATGAATATATATATATATATATATGTATTTATACAGGTATGGCATAATATGTGTAGATGTATATACATACATACATACATACATACATGCACACACATACATATATACGTATACGTCTACATTTCCTGTTAGTGTTCATGGTTCGCGTGCTTCTATTGGTGGATTACAGTGTAAAGGTTCAAGACAGGATTTGTGATTTGCTGGCTGATCCCAATGCTTCGGGAAGTTTCTTGTATGCGCAGGAGGTGCCACGATGTGTCCAGTGCCGCGGCTACTAGAATTTGCTGAAGGTTTGGTTTTCGAAACAGTTCACGCGCTTTGGATGTAGGCCTTATTGAAGCTCATGTTGTGAGCCAGCATCCCTTTGCACCACGACGAACCCTAAACCCTGTAAAGCTTCGTCTGCAGCGAACTTAGGAGGTGGCCCTTCGCGTCAAGTCTCCGGGGGGCCAAACATGCCACTGCGCCAAGTATCCGGAGGGCCAAGCATCCCGCTCATCCCACTGGATGCTGAGGTTCCAAACTTGTCCTTCTGTTGGCTCAACATCGCATGCGACAGACCGATTTGCGCGGATCTTCGTCACTCCATAACTAATGTGGTGTCGGGTCATTGTAAGGCCTCGCAGGCCACCCCAAGGATTCGCGATTCTGTTTCAAAACTCGGACAGGCAACTTCTCCGCACAAAGGGCTTCGTACATCTCCATCTTTCGGCGGTGCGTTGGCCGATGACGAGCTCGGACCAATCAGGAGAGGTTCATATGCATCTCCAGAACTCCTTGGGTGACGGTGCTCCTGCGGACATTGTCGCTTGCGATAAGGGTAATTACGGATGACAAGGCTTATGTTGCTTCTGCCGTTGCTGGTGGTCCTGATGCATATTCATGCCCTAGCCGCTGCAGAATCCTTTTGGTTTTGCTGTATGTCTACATTGTAGTTCCATCCAGCACGTGCATCTGCAGACGACGCAGGAGGGACTCCAAGCAAAAGAGTAACTTCGCTGCCACTATATGGGCTGTTTGTGCTTCCTACATCCCTGCAGGGACTTCTAAGACTATGGCATGCCGGGATCACAGACCAATAGGCAGGGGCCAGAAAATTAAGCAAGTGGTGGATTGCAGCTTGAAGTGTCTCGTTCTGCCCTCGGTTCTGTTCAGCTGGATGTTAGATGTATTCCTGGTGCCCTTGTTGCAGTCGGACCTTGATTCTCAAGGGTTTATGAGATGCAGGGTTGCAGACCTCCTGGACGTCAGATGCTACCCCCGAGCTGTTATATATGCTTGAACATCGTACACCGAGGTGCCAATTCCGAGCAAAGTCCCGCCAAGGTGCGATCCATAGAATACTATAGAAACATTTAACCTCGGTTCTCCTGAGCAGAAAGATGGTCTTGCATCATACCCACTATCATACCCCATCGACTCAAATCAGTCGTACTTGCAGCTGCTGTTCCTATCTTTCCGCATCCTCGTCCAGTTTTTGACTTTTCGACCCCACTAAGGCGGAATCCGCAGCAACAATCTTCATCATCACATTCAGTTGCTGTACCGCCAGTTAGAATGATCACTATCCCGTTTGCACATTGGTTCACAGCAGCTATGGCCCCGTCCCGAAGCCCGAATTAAGTACCACAACCACTCCCATACGAAGTATAGAATCAGTCATAGCCACAACCTACCTTTGCCACGACTGATCTAGGTCCTGGCCTGGAATGCTTGCAAGCTTGGTGCAAACTCTGCGCATGCACCCCTTGATGTCTAGCTTCTTGACTCGAGACCTCTCCACGCCAGGAGAAGTCTCTCCAGTGTGCATGTGACTTATCGATACGTGTGTCGTGTTTCCAGAGATGTGTGGTCGCAGTAATGTAGAGGCCTTAATACTTATAATAATTAGGGTTCGGGGAGCGCCTTATTAGAATCACAGTATTCCAAACCCTGTTCAAATCATTAAGGCCCCTACATTATATCCTTGTAATAACCCTTATAGTAGCCCTTTTAGACCCCTTTAAAGGCACCTTCTATTACCATTCTGCATTGCAGGTGCTACACCGGACTAAATCTGATACGGATGGCCTGGCAGACGATGAGCAGGGAAAAGCTGCTCCCAAGAGGACGAGATAGGGGCCTTAAGATTTAGAATAGGGTTCCCTTCAAAGGGTTCCTGACAGGGATCTGCAGTAGGGTTCTACAGTATAGGAGCCGGTATAATGAGAATGGGGTTTGGGGCTAGATTATACTATAATTCTAACAAGGAGCCCCCGGCCTGTTGCACGATTTTCGGCCCAGGTGGGTCCCTGCTTGTTTGTAGATGGAGGTTTGAGCGAAGGGCATCACGAGCTTGGGAAAGGTGCTGCATATTCGGTGCATTTGTGGACTTCAAGTTGGCGGATGCAATTGCCTTGTCAGGACTGCTCAGCGAACAGGCCTTGTGGCACGCTCTTCTGGGATGCGGCAGTGTTGCAAAGGGCTTTTGGCACAGAGTCATATCTGTCAGGTACATCGCAAGAAACAGGTCGACTACCTTTGTATCATTTTGTAGCCAGTACGGTTTTGCAGGGTAATCCTCTGAATCATGCGAAGGCGGCATCACCAGCCGGCTGCACAAACGAGCGATGCTGGGTGGGATGAAACCTTTGCAGATGGCTGCTCGGTTGATACGGGCTATTTCTTCGCGGATCACACAGGCGAAGGTGATGGGCACTTTGCCACGGATCTCAGATCCTAGGCCAGGTGCAAATCGAACCTTTGCGGCGCCTAGTCATACTTCTGCATCGTTTTGACCTGTGACGGCGGCAAGTACTAATAAGCTCGCTTGAACCATAGTTGATTGTCCTCTATATGCTTCGGCTTAAAGGATGGACAAGCGTCGCAGCAAGAGAGAGAGAGAGAGAGAGAGAGAGAGAGAGGGATTCGGTTACATTGTTGTACAGGCATGCATGTTACAGGCTGCTTCTCAGCCGTGCTTGCCGTAGACCTTATATCGTTTGAGATGATGTTGTGACGATCGCCAGTAACATCTCTGGGTGTGGGGGCAAGGGCCGGCGCACGCCTGGAGGCCGTATCCCCAGCCTGCCTCGAAGAACATGGGGACCTGAATAATCAGTGAGGAGATCACCATATAGTCCCTATATTATAAGTATAGTGCAATATTCACCGGTATCCCTGTTTGAAAGCATGAGGCCGCCCATGTTGCTTATAGCGACCCTGCCTCGATGTTCCCTTCTTTCGCGGTGTCCAAACAACTTGGTATCATGGTACAGGTCTGTGCGTATGTATGTACATATATATATATATATATACATACATATGTATATGCATGCACACATCTTGTTGAATAGTATGTTCCGGCGAAGAACTGCAATGATCTTGGTGAAACTGCGAATTGAATGTGAATGTTTGAGCAGCAACGAGGACTGTGACAAGGTCGTCGCTGACTCCTGGCAATGAAGTTGCAAGGCATCGTTGGTGTGCGTAATGTTTCTTTCGTTTCGATTCTTCGGCATGCTTCATTATTTTCGTTGCAGAACCCGTAGCAAAGCTGGATAGACAGTTCTCGCTACCTGCACGGGAGAATGCAGTCGCATGCAGTGGTTCAGCGCAGCTCTCGACCGATCGAGTCCTTAAGCCATGGGTATTCCAAGGAAACGACGGAAACCTTCGTGGACGCAGCAGAGAAGTACGACATGTTGGAGCTGTGCCGTACCGGCATAAGGGCCATGCCAGAACTGATTCAATGTTGAGGTTGGGTCCGTCGAATCCTCAACTCGCAGCAGCAATAGAAAAACCAAGGCTCACGTAGTCACTGAGACTTTAGCAGAAACTTGTCTGATCGTGATCTCGAACAATTGGCGAAGCTGGCATGGATCGGAATTTCTGGAAGCCTGTCAGTCACAGCCGCTTGTCATGTCATGTTTGGCACCTTCTCCAGTTAGCTGGTCATGTTGCCCCAGGATTGGCAGAGGGAGCGCGGCGGTGGTCAAAAAGGCGGTGCGGAAGCAGGACCGTCAGTTCCAACATTTCAGGAATGTCCTACCTGAGATCTCCGTTGTGGTTCCTTGCTTTCGTTTAACCAGTTTCATGTTGATGATCCTAGAACGTAGACCCCAAAAAAGGAACTGCAATGGCTGCGGATACTCCGATGCCCTTCAACTCAGTCGAAGCTGTCATGGATTCCCGCTTATAAACCTGTCTCAGTGGGTCCAGTTACACCGGCAGGCAGATGCTGCATGCTGCAGTGCTGAGAAACTGCTGCGGTGCAAGACCGAAATACGTCAAAGTCTAAAGATGATAATTTCTGAAGAGCACCGAAAACCCCACACCTTTCTCCCAGTACGGCAACATAACGCGCGCAAGGATGGCGTCGTTGTTGCTCTCAAGATTGCCGGCCGCGAGCCTGAAGTCTGGTCAGCTGATGATCGAAGAGAGACTACCTGGGATCTCAGGCTTTGCGAAGGTTCTGCTTGGGTGAAGGGCACAGAATGACCTGGCAGAGCCTGCAGCAGTCATGCCCTCTTCGATTCCGAGCTGAAGCATGATCAAAGATTAGACGGGCCAGCCTGGTCCTCGTGGCATCTTGATTGGCCCGGATTCGTGAAGCATGTCAGTGTCATTGTGCAAGCCTTGCTTTTCTATGTCCTGACACCGAATTATAACAGCAGGGCTTCAGTACTAAGAGTGCGTTGGAACGGACAGTTGCTGCTTGCTGTGTGCTGCAAGTCCCACATATGTATATACTAGACTCACTAGACCCTTCTGAGAATTACTGTTATCTTCCCTGTTCTGAATCCTTGCAGCTGAAGGTTCCAAAGACAACTTCTCTTTGGCCGAGGCAGAATTCCGGATGCTGCAGTCACTCACCTTTGACAACTTTGCAACTGAAACATGTAACTGTAGGCAAGTGGTACGCAGGGCCTCAGCAGGTTTTGGTTCGACTTGTTGAGGCTATCCTATGCGTGTTTTGCACGGACAAGCTGTCATGATTAGTGCCAGCAAAGAAGTACTAGCACCGTGATTCGAAGGACGGGCTCCAATAGTTACGTTTGAAAGCGGGCGTAGCGTGCCCCTGTAAACATACGTACGCACTTGCCACTTGTCTTCAGATAAGGGGTAAATATACAAAGCTTCATACACAGACCTGTATACGCACATGAATACGCACATGCATGCCTGCGTCATACCTACCTACCTACTTCCCGACTTACCCATCTACGCGCCAACCTACAGACATACATGTGGACATGCGCGCAGACATTGTTGGAACTGTACATTGGCATACGTACATTCATAGATAGATACTTGCAGCCGCTGCGAGTGCCAGCCGTGTACTTGCATATGCCAGTGGTCAGCAGCTGCACGCCTACAGTCAGCTGATGTATGTATGTACGTAGGTACTGTATGCATGCACGCACGTATGCAGGTATCTAGTGTCTGTACGTGTGGATGTATGTGTGTAAGTAATTGTAAGTAAGTATGTATCTAATCATTTGAATACTCGTGAGACCTAAGAAGGCAATGGACTTTGGCCCAGAAAAATTGAATACTCGTGCGCAGATGCTCTTGTTTTAGCTTCGGCATCGCAATCACAGTCAGCACTTAGCTACACATATCAAGCAATGTGCCTATGCACAGATGGCAGCGTGGTTCGATAAAGCATATGTACTGTATGGATGCGATGTCCGATTACTTGTTAAATTCTTGTTCGGTGTCCTTGTTCCACCTCCTCCCCGCTTAAGGTCCATCAAGCATCCGCATGTAATTCGGGCGCTCGACTTCTTTGCCACATCCGTCAGCGCGATCATGGCACCGACCCGAGTTTCACGGGGCATCGGAACCTGTTTTTGTATTGTATGGTAGCTTTCTCTTAACAGGTGCGTGGCTCCAGGTGAATCGGTTTTGTCCACGTGCTGATGCTGCTGCTGCCTGCAATGAAGTGTTGTTTCAGGTGTTACTGGGCTCATGCCGTTCGAGCACATCATGTATCACCAAGACGTTTTGGCTCCGACAGGGAGTACACACATGTCCGGGGTGATGTCGACATGTAAGCACATGTCGTTGTGCACAGCTCACCATCAATATGTCCAAACAGTTCCCTACGGGTTCCCCGGTTTCTTGGCAGTGCTGCCAATCCTTCCGATTTCCAGTTTGCCTGCCAACTGCCAGGTCCTAAGCCGTATAGTAGTGGAAAGACATGCTAGAAGTAGGGTTTTTTGGGGAGTGGCTTCCAGGCTTTGGATCTTGCAGCAGATCTAGAATTGAGGCTTAAATCATTAGCGCCAGTAACCCCGCCGTTTATAGTCCACATTTGATTGCACACGTAATCTACATGGAAACCCTAGTCTTGTATTTCGACGAGGCCCCGAATATTCTAGGATTCTAGAAGATAACTCTAAACCCTAAAGCCTAAACTAAACCCTAAACCGCGCCGAAAGCCACAGGTCTTGGAGTTCTTCGAAGGTGGCAGCTTAGAGGACATCAGAGAGCAGTGCTTTTGGTGCAAATTGGGCGGTGCGAACTCAAATGATGCAGGAAGTCTGTATAGTATAGAGCCCACTATATATACTATAACTATAATAAGGAGCCCCCCAAAATAGTGTAGTTCAGGAACTTTTTAAAGGCCACTATATTACACCCCTGAAGCCGCCGCCCCTTGAATGCTCGGTGTGCGCAGGCTATTTCTCCGCGGTGTTTTTAGAATCGTCAGAGCCGCAGGCTCTGCACCGACAGTTGAAGCTACGCATACGACGCCTACTGCCGCCTACTATATGGCATTTCTCGCTCGGTTTTGAAGGCATGCTCTAAGTTCGGATTCTTGCTTGGGACCCTGGTCAGGCAAAAACATATGGAACAGGAGCCACAGGAAACCCGATTGGAGCCCGCACAAACACACACACACACTCACTCACTCACTCACTCACACACACACACTCGCACATGTGCACACACACACACGCTCGCGCGCGCGAACACCTTATTTCATCTCGCATCCTGGAAGCAAATGCTGCCAGCCACAAGCTGTCCGAGGTCTGCAACCCTACTGCACCCAAAATCCCCAAGCAGCATTGATAAACGCGCAGCACCAAGGCAGCAATTAGATTGCAGCTGCCTATGTTGCCTTTTGGAGATGTACACGACCTGCCTGCATTCCGAGTGTGAATACAAAACAGTGGCTGACTGCTGAGAAGACGAACTTCGAGCCTGGCCACTACGCTGGTCTTCTTTATCTGCTCACGGTTACTTGGAGGATCATGGGACTTAGTAACTAGGGTTATAACTAAGGTAACTATACTTATAACTCCAATTAGGGTACTTATAACCTTACTTACTAAGTCCCATGATCCTCCAAGTAGTAATCATATGTCATATGTGTTATAACTAGTAATTATTACCCAACTGGAACCCCAACTTAATGCCCACAAGCCTTAAGCACCAGGCATGAGGGCCAAGCCCTTAAGAAACACAGTTGGCGCTCAACCTTCGACCCCTCAAAGTTTTGTCCCAAAGGATCCAAGTATCATTAAATGGTATATACTTAAACCCCCAAAATACGCTATAAGTGTATACCTAAACCCTAAACCTTCTGGGTGCGGCAGCAGGAAGCGGTCCCAAAGCTGCCTGGATCGCGTCTTCCGGAGCTTGGGAGTAAAGCGGATCCAGCCCGTGGGAGTTTTCGGGTTTGCGGTTTAAGGAATCAGTGTAGGGCTCGTGCTGTGGTCGCGTGTGAAGCAGTGGTTCGTCGGCCGACCTCAACATGCAAGCAGGGAGGCTTCCTCCGCAGCTATCACCTAAGGAGATTGCTTGCTTTCCGACACTTCGACACTCTGCAAGTTGCCTTTTCCACACAGCTTTATCGCGAAGACATGTGACTAGGTGTCTTGCCGTCCTCGAACACTCGTGCTAAGGCCAAGGGGTAGTTGGAGCGTCTCAATGAAGCATGGTCTAGGCAGGATCCAGGCCTTGCAGTTGACTTTCCTGGCTCCTGACTATACTCTGGTGTGCCTAAAGCCCTCTGGAGTCGAGGTCCCACTTCGACCCAGAAGGGGAAATCCCCAAGTAGGATGAACCTAATGAAGGCTCAACGTGAGACCTTAACAAGAGGAGCTGAAAGCCCGGTCCCTGTTCAAAGCGCTGCTGTCAGCCGTGTGTGCCTGGCCTCAACTTATGCAGTTAAAGATGGACCCAGTGCAAGGTTTCCAAGTCCAAGTTTGAGAACTTAACTGATCTTGGGATGCTGTTTGCTGTGATACCGATGATACTATCGCTGAATTGCTGCTGTCAGCCGTATTGGCTATAGTTCGCTTGATGCAGCTTTGGCCGTCTCACTTGGCCGGTTCGTGTTGTCCAGTTGTGTCTTTGTATAATTACTGTGCTCGACGGCTTGGCCCGACCTCCCTCGCAAGTCATCCTCAGGACTGCTGGGCAAGTTAGAGGATTTGTGTTCAGGGTAGGGAGTGAGCCACAATGGCCTTGTTGCAGCTGGAGCAACATTGTCTCTGAATGGTGGCGTGGGGCTTCAAAGGATCTCTGACCATGGTCTGCAGCTGCGGCCACAGCTACAGCTACTACCTATGTATGCATGCATACATACATGCGTCAATGCTTTTTTCTTCTAATATGCTGCCAACATGATTTACAAGCATGTCTTGATATTGTCAGGTTCGAGTATTATCTGCGAAGCAAGTAGGTCTGCGCGGCTACCACAACCCTATACGATGGACAAACGCTGTCCGTTTCAGCGGCTGGAGACCCCAAAATCCTAAAAAGCATGCCTTGCACCCTAAACACCACAAGCTGAGTGCGAAGTAGAGTCGTCTGAATCAGTCGTTGTCGTCTGGCGAGCCCGAGTTGCGAGAGTGTAAACACCGCAAGCTTGGCCACCTTGCCCGAGCGTACGGAGGATATAACAGTCAAGTGTGTGTGTGTGTGTGTGTGTGTGTGTGTGTGTGTGTGTGTGTGTGTGTGTGTGTGTGTGTGTGTGTGTGTGTGTGTGTGTGTGTGTGTGTGTGTGTGTGTGTGTGTGTGTGTGTTTGTGTCTGTTCGAGCGATGAGCCCATGTGAATTTGACGGGTTTACGTAAAGATGTGTTGTGTTCAATGGTGATCTTTGTTAATGAGCCAGCATGAGCTTTCCAAGATCACTGCATGCATGTAAGCACTATGTAACTAGAATTTCAGCAGTAGCAAGTCCGTGCACTGCGTTCATCGACACGCACCTAAATACATATTATGTTGACCTATAAACACGTGCCTTTGGGGGTTTCGTTCCCATTGTACAGACAGACTGATAGAGGGACAGATGCGTAGCTAGGTAGACAGATGCGTAGATAGGCAGATACTTAGAGGGACAGGTAGATTGGTCGGCAGCTAGGTAGATAAGTAGAAAGATAGACAGGTAGATACTCGGATGTAGATTGGTAGAAAGGTAGAACGATAGACCTACGGGTAGATAGAAAGATAGATGGAGAGAGGTACTTGACATAGTTCAATATACAGATACAGAGACAGATAGATAGGTAGATAGGCAAATATAGGTTAGGTAGACAGAAAGACAGACAAACAGCCAGGTAGAGTTGAACATTCATATACCTGGCTACGCTGACAGAGACAGCAAAACACCAACGGTAACGGTTGAGAAACTGCACAACCACATAGACGGATCATTCTTTGCTGGCTAAGGCTATCTGCATACCCGGCGCATCATCCACCGAGATGTAAAGCCGTCCAACGTCGTGGTGTCGGTGCCTCCAGCTGACGCAAGTACTGGACATGCGGATTCGGCAGCATGCGTTCGACACTGTTGGGCAAATGTTGGCCATGTTTCGGGTGCTCTTCAGCCAACAACTTCCGAAACACAAACTTCCAAGTAACACAACCGAGTCGATTTAGGGAGTCGACATGCTTCATGGTTTTTTGTGGACAGCCCTGAAACCACAGAATGCTGCTTCGACGGGCACCGTTTTGCATTGTTGTGTTACGACATGTTTGGGGTGATGACGCTGAGAGAATGAATGTGAGGTGGGCCACTGCTAGCTTGCTTTATTTCCGCAACACCACAAGTTAGTTCCAACGTTGTAATAAGATCTGAGCCTAAAGTGCCCTTCCTCCCTGCGAACACCAGTTCCCCATGCCCCATATCCAGCCGAACGGCCTCTGGTTTTAGGACTTCTGGAGTTTTCTTTAATCACAAGATGCAATGAGCCTGTAAGCAACAGACCTTGAACCCTTTTCCCTGACCTGATTGCACGCCTCGAAATGCCTCACCATTTGTGGAAAGTTGCAGTCGGATAACTTCTGGTTGTTTCTATGCACACCTGTATAGATCACATAGTTTCACGGAAAAAAGGGCTTTTGGTCATCATAGCGCAGCCTTAACCTGTACGATGCCACAAGGAACCTGAAGACCCAGAACCCTGCAAAGCCCTATCCCCAAAGTTACTGTGTTGCTCTTGTGAATTGTTTTGTAATGCTTGTTACTGGAATAGCAGTATTCCTGATTTTATTTTAGCTTATTCTGCATATGATTGTTGTTTGGATCTTCTTGTTGTAAGGGTTTGCAAGCCTGAGCCCAGAGATGAGGCCGACTTTTCCGACTTGCGACTACTGGACTTCAACGTCGCCAAGCGCTTGACAGAAGGAGGACCGGACTTCTCGTCGGCTCATTTACTGTTTCCCCGTTTTATGCGTTTTTTTGTTCGGAAGCTCTGTGCTTCCAGGGGATTCAAGGGGTCGTGGGTTGTAGGGCTATCGCAGCTTATGTGCCTTTAGGGGCCGGATTCATGGTCCTGGTAGGGGATGAGGTTTCTTCGGGTCAGTCTCTTGGATTCTCATGGCTCGTACTGGAAGGTTGCATGCACTGGTGAGTTGCGGGCTCAGAAATTAAGGGTCATCGTAAACTGTTTGGCGGCGTAGGTTGGTGCGAGGACTTTGCCGGTTTCACATGGAAGAAGTCCAATCCGGAAACTGTCGTGATTGCTTTTTTCGACATGTCATCTTTGCACCCCTTGGGTGTGGATTTTGGTGAAGGCAGTGTGCACGAACCTAAACCTGTTTACACATTGGCAGAGGCCACACACTCAAAGAGGCAAAAGCAGTTTGAGCCAGGAGCCTTGACATTGACAGGGACACGGCTCTACTGCGCACCGGAAGTTCTCGACGGCGAGCCACCAAACGAAGCCAATGATGCCGCTCGGGCTAAAAAGTAGTTGAGTTACTTCTTCGGGTTTGAAAGTATAGAGTGTATGGTGATGGATAAGATGGTTCCTGAATTTCGTGCGTGGCTTCAGGGTGTCGACTGCATACTGGGTCAGTTTATAGTTACATACACAATGATAAGCACATAATTAGAGAAGTAAGTCTCTGTTTCTACCCCACCCTGAATAGAGAAGCAAGTCTCTCTATCTACTTCTGTCTCGATGTATGTATGTTTGTATGTATGTATGTATGTATGTATGTGTATGCCTACATCGATTATTTTGTGAGATATAATGTATGTGATGTGCTACTATATTGTATGACATATTTGTGGACTGGTGTAGGCCATATGGGCTCATGCTTCCAAACTCCCTGCCAGCCGTGCCGGGCTGGAGTATTTCAGTATGCTCATGTCGAACATATAGACTCCTGCTAGCAGTGGCAAACCACTTTTATTTCCCGGATGTGTGAGTGAATGCACGAGAAGGTTCATCCACGGCAGCGGTTGGAAGAACCATGCACGGTGACTGCAAAGGGCTTCAGATGCTAATTCTCATCTTGCTCGTAGAGACCTTGTGTTCACACCGGCTAAACGCGCAGCAGTTCAAGCGATGTCAGTCGTTTACGGACTTATCACCGGTGTCATTTTCCGCCGAACTGTAGGTTGTTGATTCAAGCTGCTGCCGCAAGCCCCAAGCTTTCCCCACCTCAGAGCTGGAAAGGTCTGGGGCTGTGGCCTTTGCGTTTACTTCATGCTCGCCGGCCGGCTTCCCTGGAAGATGCCAGTCTGTTTATTAGTCACCTTACCGAACATGTGTTCACTGCAAAGACGTATGCATATGCACGTGCCTACCTGTTTATGCACCCTAGTTCCTGCACCCGTGTTCAGGCACTGAACACATGCACGCAAGTGGAGGGAGACACTCACACACGTATACATGTGCACATGTGTAGAAATTTATACACATGTATATGCATATGTACGTGTACATAAGGTACCCAGACATATTGTAAACAAGTAGAAGTCTGCGTGTGTGTGTACACCTGCAGGCAGCACAGCATGCATACGTGTATGCACATACAAACATTTGCACATACTTACCTACCTACATGCTTACCCATGTACCTGCCTGCATGCTTGCATGCATGCATACATGCATAAGAATACCTGCATGTTGAGGTAAGTGCAGTTTGTGGGCACCGACTGCGCTCTAAAATTGCAGAACACAGAAACTGCTGTCCGAAAGTTCGGTGGCAGCTGTCGGCTTACGGGCTAGTTGCATATTCCTGAGAGTTACAATGCACGCAGATATGTGTATATATATATATACCCATACATATATATATATATATGTATGCACATTGCATATGCATGTACTAAGTCGTACAGTTTGATCTCAATCGTGCTGTTTAGGAAAATTTGCCAAGCTTTACCCTTGACACGCTGCGGCCTGGATTTCCTGGCTTCTGTTACTGTTGCTGTGTTGAGCTGCTGTAGCTTTGTATTCTTTGGTGTCAAGACAAGTTGCCTTACGGTCTTGCTTCTGACTGGAAGCCCATTATCCAACAGAGAAGCATGGATCAGCAGCTGCGATAGACTTGGTGAGGATGATTTCGGACGCCAGCCGAGCCCTAGCCGCCCCAGGTCACAAAGGCTCAAGAAACCACCGGAACCGAGGATCCTGCCCACCGAGAACTTCTTCGAGACGCTGCCGGCGCTTCGGGTCTCGGGATCCTGGCACCGAGCCTGCAAGAGCTGCAACATGTAGGCCTTTGTTGTCTTTTTCATGTGCTTCGGGTTGCAGATGGGGCCGCGATAGAGCATGCATGCTCGGCTGCTTATGCGAAGTTTTTAGAGGTTTTCCAGCTCCATTTCACTGAAGGAGGTGCATCTGCCGGTCACGAGGAAACCCGTCTTTACGTGTTGAAAGGTTTAGAGGCTTAGAGCCGAGATAAACCTCCTGCTATTGTCATGTTTCACTTAATACCGACTTCTGGTAAGATCAACGGGCCATTTTGCAGCCGTTGGAACCTGCATCGCCACAATCTGCGGCCCTTAACCATCACAGCATTGCAACTGCAGCCCAGATGTGAACCCCACGCACTTCACCTTTGACATCTCCATCTGATATGATGACTGAGCTTGTTCTACTTGTCTGTCTCCCCCCCTGCTGATTCAAGCCCAAACCGACTGGCCCGACTGGCCTGCTGATGAACCTGTGCAATCAGACGCCTCGCCCGGATTGCCCGAGCTGCGAGAGTCGAAACCCACCTAAAGTATTCATCGTAGTTCCTTTTTTAATCCTACAAGGTAACCCCCAAAACGAACTACAATGGAGACTTTAGCCATGTTGCTGAAGCCAAGGTGCCTTTCACTGTCGGAGCCCTGCGACCCGTCACGGCAGTTGTGGCATGACAGGGCGGGTCTTAAGTCCCATAATAGATGGGTAGTTGTCAAAATTAAGGTCCCTTTTTGGGTACCCTAAATGATCGGTGCCGTATTTTTTGTAATAGGGACCCAAAAAGGGACCATAATTTTGACAACCACCCAGATGTTAGGGTGTATGGGGTTTACGGCTTTAGGGGTTATAGGGTCAATATATGTTCAGTAGATTGAGGAACCCAAGTGCAGTTTTAGTAGGATCTTTGCTAGAAGTAGTGATATGGGGTTGAGGATGGTGGTTGCATCCCGTAGCCGTAGTTCACCATGTGGTTGGTTGTCAAAGCCCTTGCCTGCCCCTTTTTGGGTCAGGATGGTGAAGGCTGTGATGGCGAAGCAGCAAAGCATGTTCCTGATTTCGAATGTCATTGTCTTTGAGCACAGATTAGCTTCACGAAGTTCGTCCTTCGTATGCTACTGCGACTTCAACCATCGTGTTCAAGCTTTCGCAGAGGCGAGGCAGGTCGGGGTGTGGCGCTGAGGCAAGTCGGTACTGCGCCAATGCTTGACGATCGACCCAATCTGGAGACCGGCTGCGACGACCATTATGCTGCATGAGCCTTGCCGTTAGTTTAGGGTTTTGTTGGGGGTGTTTGGGGTTTAAAGCGTGGTTTGGCATTTTGGCCACAGACATTTCTCATCTTTTTCAGGTAGTTGGGGTTCGCCGTGCCAAACTCCTGCACCTCCTGTTCACAGAACCCAGATTGTTATATATCACATCAAGTATATATAGGTCATGCTTTTGACCTGGGAATTCGAAGTTGCTTGCTCAGGAGTGGTTCTGGATGCAGTAAGATGCCGCGCAGCAGCAGTGGAAGGGGGAGCTGGGGAGCTGGGCTGGGAAACGGATCTGGAGTCTAGAGTCGGACATTCTAGCCGTGTTCCTTGCTGCTGCAGTGTGCTCCTCGAGCCTACTGGCCTCATTTGGCCTCATGAACTTCGACTGGGATCAAGTAAGCTAGGCTTTGTCTAGGTTGGGTTTCGACTTTAGAGTCTGGGGTGAAGGGTTACTGCACGCTCTCCAGCTTGCACATCTGTCCTCTGAACCAAAATCACCCAAACCGGAAAAAAACGGTGCTTGCATTCAGAGTGCTTGGCCCTAGAGGTCCCGCCAGATGATCGCCTGAAAGGACCGCAGCAGTGCGGTGGGAGCTGCTGGGTTCGGGATCTAGGGCCAGTCAGCCGGCATGACGGCAGTACTGGCCTGAACCAAAGGGCTGAACAAGCGGCTCTATACAAAGGCTTTCAGACTTTGCTTCTAGTTGGAAGTAAGGTGGGCAAGAGGCAAAATCTAGCGTGAGCATCGAATATTATCATGCGATGATACGGCTGTAGCGTACCTGAGGCCACACGGAAAACTCGACAGTTTGGAGGCGGAGGACTTAGACATAAGATGTTCAACGTTGCTGAACACAACCTCAACCTTAAGCCCAGCAGTGCCCAGCAGTACGCCAAGGACCCGATGATATGATCAGCACTATGGTATGCCACTGTAGCATCAAGCTCGAGTACATCCTGCAACCCAGGAGTGCACATACAAGCATCGACCCCCACAAAGAGACTTGAGAAGAGTATAGGTCAGTGCAGTACCTAGCCCATTAATTACGCTATGTCCTCACTGTCGTCTAGATGTATCTGCGGCCGTGTGATGCGCCGACTTGAACAAAAGACTCCGAGTCTCGGCTTCAGTTGCCAGGCCCCGGTACACGTGAGCGTGTACATGGTGAGCAGACAAAGACTGGACTGACAGCAAAATACGTGCTTTGCGGTCGGGCTTCTTCGCAGTCGCTGCACAGATCCTCATGCTTTCGCCAACGATTCTGCAAAGAACCACTCCTGAAGAATGCTTTGAACACAATCTTGTGACCAGAGCACAAACTTACAAATTGGGCGAAGCAGCGGCCGATCGCATAGCATGAGGCAGTTTGTACATATCGGAGAACCCCAACTGCTCACTGAGTGGTCGGGGTCCCATGCGTCGGCGCAATAGGCCGTTTGGCACTGAGTAGTAGGGCAAAGAAGTCCTGCATTTCATGCTACTATCTGCCGGCTGGAGCTTCGCTGGCATAAAGCCATGTCTTGACGCTTCCGTGATGCTGCGAACATGCCACGAGAACCTCCTCGACCTGCTGCACACAGCTTGCCAACGGCTGTCGCTTTAGAGCCGTCTGAAAAAGTTCCTAAACCCTAAAACCCTAAAATCCTAAACCCTAACCCCTATATGCGGGCCTCGTCCTTGCTAGGTAGGAGGGAACAAAACCCTTAAAAAGGGCTTCAGCTCATCTTGAGCTGCCCTACCCCAGGGCCGGGCACAGGGTACATGAGCCTTGCTTGCGGAAGTTTCGTGGAGTGACTTCTGAGGCTACGCGTGCACATCTTACACGGTTTAAGGGTTTGTAGGGTTTATAGGGCTTATTGGGTTTATAGGGTTTAGGGTTTCGGGATTTATACCTGCATCGGAGAGAGTGGAGATTGAAATCAGATGTTGCAAGTGACCGCAGCGTCCGATTTGTGGTGAGCCCTTCAAATCAACCAAACGAATCCACTCCGGTGACGAATGGAAGCAAGGTGCTGGTGCTTGTTGGAATTCGAAACCACATCCTGAATCCGGACTCAGCTATAAATTATGTCCGACTCTGGCGCATGATAAACGGCTATTTTATGATCTACAGGCGTAGCAGGGAAGTGCGCGTTTGGGATGGAATCCTCACCTGTCACAGCCAGGCAGCCCAACGACTGGCAGAAGGCATAGCATGCTGCAGATGATGCAAGCTGCGACATATGAGGAGGTCCGCATCGCTCAGTTCTAGGTTCCAGGCCGTACTGCAAAACCTGTACCGGTTGGAGGGCTCATAGACTTTACACAGCCGACAAGGAGACCTTTGTTCCGAAGTGACCAACCCGTCTTGGCTCTGACTTCTGAGGCCATGAGGTCTAGCCGCACTTACCATGGCATATCTTGAGTTTAAAGTTCTCAGAACCCTAAATCGTGCTGCAAGTGCCTGGAGGTCAAGGTATATAGTTGCTCTTGACGCGCTTCAACTGCCTCTAACCTAGACAGGTCTTGGCAAATATGTCCTAGACTTGAGGTACACGTCTACATCGAGCTATTAAGTTGATGCAGGTGTCACCGCTCCCCAAAAGACTTTTACGACAGGGTGGTGCGCCGGAGTCCATCTTGGCGCTGCAGGCAGACCGGCCCAAGGGGTTCGCCTTAGGGTTGTAATATAGGGCCCTTAATGATTAGATCAGGGTTTTGGGGATCCTTATTATAATTACAGTTATAGTATAATATACCCCCAAACCCTATTCCAATTGGTAAGGCCCCTACATTAGGTGGGTATCTCATTAGGTGGGTATCTTCTGGTTGAAGCACGGCCTCGGCGTAGAACGCAGCAGTATCTTATGTAGTGGGATAGAAGAGCCTATAATCTCTGCCATTTCTATCCCAGAAAGGGTTATGGCTTTGTTGGGGGGGGTTCGAAGGGCTGCGGCACTGACCTGACCGTTGCTAATCAGGGCTGATCCTGAGGATGCTTCTGTACACTGTCAGGGTAGCATTTTTCTCGTCGAGACCAATTGTGGTCTGGTTTGTGTGATGCTAGTCAAGATGCTGCTCGTCACCGTAGAGCAAATAGAGTCGTTGCATGTCGTTGTCCCTCCCTCGTGAAGAACATCAGTCGCAGCAGTCATAGTTAGTGGGCCCAGGGTTCTGAAGCAAACACATCCAAGACAGACAAACGGGACAGCCAGGGACGGGCAAGCCAATGTAGACACACATGCTACAACTCCCGTTTCGTTACTACATAGTACTTTACCAGTGTAGGAAATGTGCCCTCGAATTGAAAAGTAGCGAAGTGAGACAATGGAAAATTACGAAATAAAGTCGACGCATGTGTACATGCATTTCCGTCGCATGGATTCGGCTCGGCCTTGACATGGAATCCAACACCTTCTCCAGGAAATCAGCGCCGCCGCCACCCAAGTTTGCGAGGCACATCCGCTGATATTCGGAGGGCACGATCCAGAAGCGAAGGAACAGTTGGCATGACATTGTTTCCGCCTTGGTTCAGGTTACAAAGGTTGGGAGGAGGGAACTGGGACTGCACCTGCTGCATTGGGCTTTCGACACCTTGTCGTTACATGGACAGGCGATGTCCAGCCTGTTGACGACAGCGGAGAGCATGTGCTCAAAAGCGTGCCGAGCTCAAGTTGTCAGCTGTATCGAAAAGATAATTACCCTCGTATCTTTGTGTCTACTCTGATGGTTCTTGGTTTGAGTGATGCTGCTTTGGTCTTGGGTTGTAGAAGTGCGCAGCATGTAGGTCATATGCGTTTAGATAGGCTTCGAATTTCGGGACAGAAGTGGGGCTGTAGGATTCTACTTTGACCATGGCAGGAGGTGGATTCGCGGTGATGCTTGGTGATGCCATCGGCGTCCAGTGTACAGCAGCTTATTGCATCCAAAGGCAATGTTCCTGTTTCAAGCCTGTCAGTCTTGAACACCTATGTCCAAAACCGTTGGAGTACTATAGGGGCCCTATTTTCTACCAATACTATATCCTGGGGGGGCTCCTTATTCAAATTATAGTAGAATGACCCCACAACCATATTCTTAGTAGCCGCGCGAATTTCGCGACAACCGCAATTCGAGTGTTCAGCCTGGGCGTTGGGCCCTTGCCCCCGCACCATGGTCGGAGTCTATTTGCTCACAATTCCCAATATTCTTTTGGGGCTTCCTTACCTGTGGATCCAAAAACCTCCCGTTTTAATGGTCGGACCCACTAATCAAGGGGTCATAAACTACTAATTCGTAGGGTTTGGGGATACAGGTATTGTCGTTATAGTATCATGATGCGTAGGCAAAGTTTCCCTAAGGCTTGGATTTGCCTGACATGCATTTCTTGAGGCCACATGATTTCATCGAGGATGTGTTCTCCCTCAGAGAGATCGGGGCCGAAGCAACGAAGCCGTGACCTTATCTTCACACAGATCATCAGCATCGCCATTTTCGGCATCAGCATCATCACCAACTTGAGCTGGCTGGCATCTTCGTCTGCAGAAACACATCGCAAGCATCACTTCATCGTCATCGCAACCACCAACACCGGCCGCAACGCCGATCTCGGCACAGTGGCTCTCATATCTCTCATATAGTAGGAGTGATGACATAACTATGTTGACAGAATTGGTGCTATCCCAGTAGGAGGAAGGTCAAAGCCTGAGCCAGTAAAAGTAGTAAGTGTAGGAATTACAGTAACACCAGTCGTAGAGGTGGACGTTGTATGCGCACCAGCAGGAGATTCGGCATCAGCGACCGTAAAGCTGATACGGCGTGTGCTGAGACCAGCACTCCCACATGCAAAGCCATAGCAGCGAACGTATTTGCAAGCGACCGCCTCCATTGAGTAAACCCGCGCAATGTCACCATGCTACCGGTGATGTAGATGCTGTTCTTTATTGCGTGACAGTGCTGCTTGTGATGATGATGATGATGGTGACGATGGTGATGGTGATAGTCATGGTAATGGTGATACTCAATGATGTCGATCGTGATGTTCATCTTGTTGTTGAGACTATATGGGTTCCGGCTTCATGGATTCACACAGCCAAGGTTCAGGGATGTAACGCCGGTGGGGAGTCACCGACGTGAACACACTCTTGTAAGAGGGATTAGGTGTATGATCACTTAAGAAAGTCTCTGGCTGCAGAAACCATAGGCAGACCTCACGACCCGTGCAGTGGCGTGGTCAGCGTAGATTTGCACACGCACACACACGCAGACTCATTTACA